TTAAAGTAGGATTCCTTCGTATCCCTTATAAGTTCCTTAACAAGCACAGACTGAGTATCATAACAGAGTATATTGCCCGGAGTAGGATTGGTTTTCATTTTAGCATAAAGTTTCTTTTTTTTATTTATTTCATGTTTTAGTCTATCAGAAAACCAAGGTTTATCATTCCTTTTAATAATTCTTACTTTTTGCGGAATATGCTTTTTAAAGATAAGGAGTAATCTTTCAGTAAAATTTCTAGTCATTTCGTGTATATTATTTTGAGATTGAAAAAAGGTATCCCAATCAAAGCTTATAATATCATTGTTTAGACCATGAATATTAGCTTGATCATATTTCCAGATTATTTTCTTATATGGCTTATATTTAAGCAGAAAAACATCAAATGAGGACACGAGAGTGCTATGATCGGTCGATCCAATGGGAGCCTCAACTGACACATTTGTAACCAACCCTGGGATATCAGTAACTGTCAAGTCAATGCACGAGGATGAATCACCTTGTATTCTGGTTGGTTCTCTTACTAGCTGGTCCAGACCATGGGTTGAGAACAGATCATGTAGCAATTCACCTGCAACATCATCCCTTCCACCCAGGTACCAGTTCCGTGAGTGGGCGTTAAAGTCCCCGTTGATGATTATTCCGTCAGATCTGGATAATTTAGCTCTATAGAGACAATCAGATAATTGACTTATAAATTGGTTTCTTTCATTTGCAGTTTGGCTTGGAGATCTGTAAAAAATACCATACAGAAGCTTTTTATATTTAAGCTGTAATTCAATCCAAAGGCAATCCAACTCCGTGTTACACAAGTCCTCTCTTATTTTATATATCATGTCATTTCCCACATAAATTATAAAGCCACGTCCCTTTTCCGAGTATAAAGGATTATGATAGCCATCGATGTAATATTTACTAGTCAGATAATGCTCAGGAATTTTCCCCGCTTCACACAGACCGATTATATTAATTTCCAATTGTTTAGCGCGAATGGATAGAGCGTCAAACCTTAGCCCGTTTTCGGCCCCAAGGCTACGTATATTCGAAAAGAGTATTTTTAAGTCATTTTCAGGTTTAAGCCTAGGCCCTGGGTTGGGATGTACGTCACCGGCGAGAAGAAGTTTGAATCCTGACAGACTTATATATTGAAATGTCGACGTCGTTTGGAAGAGAGTTAAATAAAATGCAAGTAGTTCAGCCGCAATAAGTATATAGGTTTTCACATAATATGATTTAGCGAATAATTGCGATATGCAACAAAGTAACAGTAGTGAGGACAGATTGCCGCCAGCGACACACGCAAAGGAGAATGGAATAACCGGCCGATCTTTATGATCTTGGGTTACACTTATAGGATATACCAAGTAAAGGCACAAAGTTACAATGATAAAGAGGAAGATGAGAGCGGTTAACGGTTTCATATAAATTAAATAAGGGAACTTAAGGTGTGTTTCCCTTTTCTTAGCCATACCTTTGAGACAGCAGAAACAACCAACCGTCACCCTCCACTGCATCAAGCTAATCCCCATTTAGATGGTACACCTCCCACGATACATCCCCCCTGATCCCCATGCCAAGTCCCTCCTCCGGCTCCCCTTCACAACATATAAAACAGTTAAAGAACATGGTTATATAAATGGGAAAGAACAAAACAGAATAGATAATACTCTTGACAGGTCGTATAGTGTAGATTGAGATGGCACGGTGAAAAGAAAAGGCAAGGTTTGGGATGGCTTCGGAATTAAATACGGCTGTAAGTTTTCTACCAATCTCCATTAGTAAGGTCATTGATGTGCAAGGCTTGCATGTGCTTACTTATGTCATCTGGACCAGTTATTGATTACTATTTCGTCCATCATAAAACAGATAATGGTCATCAGAAGTTGATAACAGTAAGTCATCCATCTTAACCATCGTTTGGTGTCTCATCCATTATGAGCCAGGTATCGTGTAATTAAATTGACATTTTTCTAGTTACACACCAGCTTAAATATGCATTTATCCATTGATTAATAGAGACATGACTCTAAAACCTACATAAAATCAAACTAAAGCTCATCGAGGATAATCACCAATAAATGTTTGGTCAGTTACACCTCAGATTAAAATTTTGTATTTTCTGACTGGCTATATGGGCATTTTTACAATCCTGGGCTCCTTTTTTTCCCACCAAGGGTCAAAAATAGAAGTCATTATTGTGTTGAAATTTGTACTTTTCTTGAAAGTATAGACCTGAAGGGTATAAGAAATGACAATCCCGAGATAAAACCTTGTGTATGTATAAAGATATGATTATTTGAATTTTGAAAATCATTTTCAATCAATTTTCATAAGCAAAACCTTGAAGTGTGTGACTTTTATGATAATTTAAGGTATTGATCTCAAAAAAACCACTTAGTTTTACTCAGAGAGTATTGCTCTTTTATGTATTTGCAAAAAAAAATGGATGAAAATATCCAAAATTTGATGAATCAATGACATTTTGTAATTTTCCTGTTTCAGTCTTAAATGTGACTCCATGAAGTTTTTGATTCTGAGATATTCTGAGGACTTCCGTACTTCACTTTACCTTGCATTAGTTCTTTATGTTATGCTTCATGATTGTGTAAAATATTATTTTGCACAGACATGTGTGCTAATTGCAGTGTCATGTTAAAATAAATGTCCTTTCCGAAACATCCCTGTTTTGGAAAGGACATTTTTTTAAACATTTATGATATTGTTTTAATATATTGTAGTATTTGAGTTTATAAGTTTTAGGTGAAGTCTATGAATAACTGGGCAAAATAGGTGGAAGCTGAACTAAAATTGAAGTCTTTTTCTTACATTTTGTGCTTGTTTTGTCTATTCTGTACTAGTAATTCATTAGTGGAAGTTTATTTTATTAAATATTGATTCTGAAATATATTCCAGGTATTCTTTATGCCATTATACCTTATTCCAGTTTCTTTTGTTACAGTTCATAGCTGTATGAAATATTATTTGACAATGTCAGATTTACCAACAGTAAAGACATGTTTTAAAATATGTCCTTTTGGACATGTCCTTGTTTCGGAATGGACATTTATTTAACATTTATGAAATTGCCTTAAGATCTCATAGTATGTTGGTTTACAAGGTACAGGTGAAGCAATCATTGGACAAAATATGAGTCAACTAAATTAAAACTGAACTGTTTTTATTACATTAATTGGTCATTTTGGATAGTTTTTGATTCTTTTTTGAAATGTTACTCCCTTAGTATTTGATCATGACATGAAATAGAGTCTTCTACACTCCATTATACCCTATTCTACTTCCTTTTGATACAGCTCATAGCTGTATAAAATATTATTTGACAAGGTCAGGTTTAAATTTAGTAATTACATTTTTAAATATGTCCTTTTAGGCATCATCTCCATGTCCTGTGTTTCGGAATAGACATTTATTTAACATTTACGAAATTGCTTAAATGATATATCATGATGTATGTATATATTATAAATAATCACAGGAAGTTAATTATAACCTGTGTCTGCCTGCAAGCGCCTTTGTAAACCCTGCCAGTGAACTGACTCTCGCAACTTTAACATGTGTAGCCTCATAACTATTTTCGATTACTTTTATGTACATCATAAGTAAGCAATATTTAAAATAAGGTAAGCTATATTATTCAAAATTATATTCTACATAAATTTGATGTGCTTCCCATCATCCTCTTCCTCATGAATAATAAATAGATGAGCAGACCAAAGAGTAAACAAGTGTTTTAGACAATGTGTTAAAAAATGTCCTTTCCGATACAAAGCATCCAAATTGCCTTTATTTCTATTTATACTGATATAATCTCTTCAATTAATTGTTAATTTAACTTTGAAATACATGAACTTAGGGAAAATATGCAATGGAAGTTCTAGTAGATCCAAAGAAAAGATGCTGACTTGCAAAAATGAATTTTTTTGTTGAGGATATACCTGTATATAGAAATTTAAAAAGATGCCATTGAAGAAATGTTTTTCTATTATTTTAATGTCATATGCATGATGCTCTAACAGTGATTTGCTCATGTCAAGTGAAACATACAGCATTAAAGACAGAATTATAACATTGGCACTGTAAAGGTACTTTGTTTCGGAATGGACAATTTTTAACAAGCATCTCAAAAAAGGCCACAGTTAAATGGGTTTCTGTGCACTGGATTTTTCTTATATAAAAATAAATATCACATGTCCTGGGCTTTAGAGAAATATATATTGTTACAGGCTAGGTGTCAACATGTTCTTTTTATGTAAGAGAAACCCAATGTTTCGGAATGGACAAATTTAACGGAAAAACACGGTAGGGTTATTTTGCACTCCATGTCAAGCTCCAGAATCATCGCGCAGATTTCATTATTTGATACAAACAATACCAATACATCCAAATAATGATTAGAATGGTTAATTATACTGTATGTTTTATGATATATTTTCTGAAAGTAATTTATTTTTGTTTCGGAATGGACATTTCGTTTAACGGAAATACCAGCATGCCATTAAAAGACTTTTTTTCTAGGATACACCTCTCTCCTGTTAATATTTAAACTTTTTTGCTTCCACCATACTACTGAGTGTTTTATAATCCAAAAAAATGCAATGTCAAACACTGTTTTAATTTATTTCAGAATGCTTTTTATTTCATATGACTAAAACGGGAAAAATTTTTGGTCATTTTTCGGGCTTTGCTTTAGCATAACTTTGGACTCGGTGGTGATATTTGGTTTCCATTTTCATTGTTTATCTTCACTTACACCATTCTCTAACATAGTGATTAAAGAATTCTTTGATCATATGTATGTAATTTGTTAATTAGCAATATGTGGGAAAATCTGAAAAGTGCCCAGGATTGTAAAAATGCCCATATAGAGAGACAACTCCATAGTTACATTCTCCATGTGGTAACAAGATAACCGATCAGTCGTGTAGATGTTTACATGCTTGGCTAAAAAGATGTGATATAGCTGACTAACTTGGCTGTTCTTTAGTGACAAATGGAAGCACACAAGCTTGACTAAGTAGTGATGTTGTATAGCTAGCTACGTTGACTGTTGTTCAGTGGCAAATTGAAAGCACACAAAAGACTGCACGACGGCTACTCACACCACTTGCTTGCGTGGTTTACGAATTACGGGTGGTTTGGCAGGGGCATTTTCCATGTCGGTGATAATATTGTCAATGTCGTCAGTTACTTGGAAGACACGAATGACTCCGTTTTTGGTTTTCCCAAGAATTTTCCCTCTGTCTGACCAACAATTAGAGATCGAACCGTGATCCGTCAGTCTTCTTAAAAGACCACGATTCATTGGGCTTAAATCTTCATAGACACGGATCCCGGTCCCTTTCAACAGAAATCTATTTCCAATAAAGTCATCACGGACAGCTTTAGACTTCAGCCTAATTATAATTTGGCTTTGATCTGCCCTCTTATGTTGAGGTAGCCTATGCGCCGTTTCTATATCATCGCTGACAAGTTTTGGATGAATCGGTGTGTCAGATAAAGTTTTCACCAAGCTGGAGATGCAATGCTTCACATTGAAAGGCTCTTTTTTCTCCATTTCACTTAAGGGGACCCCGGAAAATCTTAGCTGTAAGCGTCTCGAATACTGAGAGTTCTGATTAGCAAGAAGTGTTACTTGATTTAGATCCTCTTTTATTTTCAGATTTTCTGCTCGTAACAAGCTAAGTTCGTCCTGCAGCTCCGCATTAATTTCGGCAAGCTCGGATTTGATGGGAGCTATTTTAGATGTAATGGCCTCATTTATTGCCGCTCGAATTTTCACATCGACAGATTTCATTTTCTCATCCAAATGTTTCTCGAAATCAGTGAGCATGTCTTTCATTCGTGATTCAAACTGGCTTAGAAAGTTAAGAAGATTCGGGTCGGGATCATTAGAAAAGGCATCAGAAGACACAGTCCTATTTTCAGGCGTATTTGGCCTACCTCTTTTACCAGGAGGCTGTACGGGGCTTGACTGGTCGTCGTCATCATATATTCCTCCATCTTGGATGTCAATCCCAGTCCTCTCCCTGGTGCCCGTTAGGAAACTAGTAATAGCAGACTGTGCCATCTTTTGCTTACATCCACCTGCGTACAGACACTGCTAGGAGACTTTATAAGATATGTCGAGACAACAAATTTCACTAAGCAGCAGCCAAACTAAAGAAAGACACTCTAACGTCCGAGCCTCCCTAATCTGTGACCATTACATCTCGTGACGTCACAACCCGATCGTGATCATAAGATAGCGCGAATAGAAAATAGAATTTAGAAAATAGACATTGCATGTGAACGAAGCCTTAGAATAACTTCACAGACAATCAACGTCTGGTTTAATTAACTAGCCCAGTTCTGCTATCTCTTGTAACGAGTGCCTCGTGGTGCGGAGTACAGCTCAGGTGACTCCAGCTATCAGGACGAGTGAGGTGTGTTCTCACATACACCCAAGTCTACAGTTAGTGCAAAATTAAAGAACCATAGTTTGAAGGTATTTGGAAAGTTCCAAAACCCCGTTAAATGAGATGTTATTCAATGGTAGTGTCGGGCGGGGAAGGTAATAACTGCTCAATCATTGGCATTCTCTTGTCCTTGTATTGAGTTGTAAACAACATCTCCTTGAACAAAATGTTATCGAAGTCCCTACTTAGAATAACTTCACAGACAATCAGCGCATTGATTAATTAACTACTTCAGTTCTGCTATCTCTTGTATCAAGTGCCTCGTGGTGCAGTGTGCATCTGAGGTGACTCCGGCTATCAGGACGAGTGAGGTGTGTTCTCATGTACACCCAAGCCTACNCAACCCCCTGTGCGGACCGTTCCGTGTGACACAATAATCTATCCTGCAATGTTTGTCTTTTTGGCACCATTTTGGCACAAATTAACAATTTTGTAAAACACTGCTAACCTTATTTTACGCACTGCAAACCCGACCGCTTGCATGTATGAGTACAGGTGTGTCAAAGCAACTTGCATGACAGGCCCTGAGATCGAAGATATAGTTTTGCAATTTTTTTTATTATTTAGGACATTTCTGGTTTCTAATTTCACAGCTGAGTATCACTGTGTGTGTGGAAGTCAGTCCTGTGGAAGCATATTATTTCTTCCACAACCCATTTAAAGTATTCATACAAATCAGAAGAGGTCTCACTACACTTCCTACTTACTAGTAACTTAGTTCTGATAGTTCTAGCTGACCAGACAAAATGAGAGATGATTAAGTGTATCAAAATTGTTTTCAGATCGAGAGCACATATAAAGGAGTGAACCACAACCATATGGACTTTGCGGCGTTTATTTTTTACAGCAGCTGTATGCAGTGTAACATTTGCTGCTTTAAATTAGAAGTAAACTAAGGAACACGAGGGTCAAAGCCAAGATCATGTGGTGACATTATCGGGTAGGTGGGACGATAACCTTCGAAACAGCATTCATCTTGCTGCTCATTTAAATGAACTATGACGATTTATTGTGATAGAGAACTCCAATAGATGATAGAATGTATTATTGTTAAGGTGAGACTCTACACCTAAAATTGATATTTTTGGACCTAGCTGAGACACCTCAAAATGTTTACCAAATGTCAGGGTATGATGAAAAATATTGAAAATAACAATTTGAAAAGCTCATTTTCATATCCAAATTAGGTTAATTATACAAAGTATGCATATTTTGGGACGAAAATTAAAATGATTATATCTCAAATACCATAACACCTCTTTAAATTCTGTTGTTTTTTTTTTTTATTATTTTTGCAGAAAACAACTTGAAATAATTTTTGGCAGAAGAAATTCCCAAATTTTGAATTAATAATAAAATTAATTGATTTTTTTTAAATCTTTATGTCTTTTGTAGCGCTTACTGATACAAAATGACCTATAAAATTGACCCCTTACTTTCAAATAAAAATTCCTTCTGACAAAATGAAGAAAGAAGCATAACACACATAGCTCCCAAGTTTTATTCAGACATAACAAGCCAGTTCTAAGATATTAGCTCATGAATTTTACGATTCAGACCAAAAGCGCAATTTCGAGATTTTTACATTTTAAAGTTTTATTTACATAATGAACGAATAGTGTGCTTGCTCTTGGCTTTCCTCTCCTGGCATGCCCGGTAGTGGCTCTTTTTCATTCGCAGCTCATCTGCCCTAGTCATAGAGGCCATGCAGATTTCTGTTGGTATTACAACCATGTTAAGCATGACTTGAGCAAGATGCATGTTACCTCTATTGAGCTTACCAACAGCTAGGGCAACTGCAGAGTCCACTCTGTTCTTCCCAACAAACACGGTTTGGGGGCAATGAACCCAGATTAGATTATTTAGAGATTCATTGGCATTACTGGTTTTCTCATGGGTCATTTTTTAGCATATTTTCATCGGCCATTCTTTTATAAATAGGCACATGGGCTAGGGCTGATTTATAAGACATGTAGGTAGAATTTTTTCCTTCATGTGGTGGGGGTTCATCCCCTTAAGCTATAGCTCTGTTGTAAAAACACCATGAGTCCTCACCCATGGGACACCTGCTGTGATGTGGGCCACCATCAGTAGACATAGAGTGAAACATCGCGGCCCATATGACATCCTTTATAGCCATGATGTAATGCAGATTACTCAAAATAGCTCCCCTATAGTAATTTTGTAGCTTTTGGCATTTTTAAAACTTGTGTGAGAGCTCCTGGTTTTCTGCCTTTTAGACGCACTTCTTTTGACATCTCCCGCAGAGCAGTGCTCATTCTCCCAGGTGCATGATCCTAGCTTGGATTTGGTGACTTGGTCTCCATAGGGTTTGACATGGCAAACTGCTATATAGAACACAGAACCTCCATCTTACAGCATTTTGGTATATCTCAAGCCAAATTGCGGAGATCTCTACCATATCCGAAGAGCTGCCTCTTGCTCCATGACCTTAGAAGAGTCTCCAAAATTCTTCGAGCACTGGTCACCGACATACTCTTCTATCCATTCACCAAACTGCTGTTGGGTTATTACCTTTGTTTTCAATTTATTTTCACTAATGGCACATGCATGACAGTACTTTGAGAGCACTTCATAATCGATTACATATCCTGTGAGGACATCAATGCATGTTCCCACCCCATAATTAGATGTAAACCCCCTCTTATGCCAAGTGCCATCAAAACTTACCATCTATATCCAGTTGATTGTGAGGATCATGATCAGGATTAAGCTCAATGGAAGCAGATCTTACCATCTCCCTTTCTTCTTCCAACACTTTGCTGCCCTTAGCTATGTGACTGAGAAACTATTTTGTTTGTTTTTTGGTATTTTTTTGAGATGCATATTAGATACCCTAAGACACTGAGAATTTTTTTCTAGGGCTGCATAACCTGCACCTAACTCATGTACAGAGAGTACCTTGAGGTCCTTGATCTCAAACCTAACATTACCTCACAACCTAACAGTAGATCCTCCTATTCTGTTAGAAAATACCTCCTTGAATTTACAGGGGTGTGACATTTTATTTGCGAAGGATTACTGAACCCATAGCTCTGCCTACTTATGTTAACACTCAGGGTGTCAGTAGAGCACTGAGGACACAACAAATCAGACAGAAAGTCATTAAGTTGAGCAAATATCTATAATCGACCTGCAAGTGTTTGATTGAGAGGTATTGGCAGTATTGTTAACACATGAGTCAAAATTACTGCTACTACTAGTACTAGTGATACAGGGTACTACGACAGCGAGAGATCTTCCCTTGCGATGTTCCCTCAACTGTCCCCGTTTTACTTTCGTTTTGTGTATTACGTAACTCACCAGCTACAGCTAGTTGTTTATTCCGCCTCAGCATAGCTTTTTTAACCTTAGGCATTCTTAAAAAACGTGAAATATTCACCTTTATTCACCTTTATTGTTCTCTAAGTGCCTCACACAATAGAAAAGACGCAATCGATCTTTGCTTGGACTTTGAACTGCCTGAAGCGGTCACTTGGTTAAGCTTATCCAATCAGATTCGAAATTGACATGCATATTTTCCGTCAGGTATCGGCAAGCCCGATTGAGCTCAAAGTTCACTTGAATTGACCACTTTTCGGGCGAATACTATAAATAGCAGTCATATAGGGGAATATGGCATGAAACAACGAGTGATTGACGTTTCATACCATATCAAATTCATTACGATTCCTGGATTGATACCGGAATTTGAGCAGCGTCAATTTGCGCTAATTACGAGATAACCTGGTCATTTTTTAATAAGTTCCACCTTATTCATAAAAATGAGCAAAAATAAGGCCCATACGCTTGCAGTTTGGTTGTTAGACTTGTTAATTCCGAAAATATTTACACTTAGGTAGATGAAAATATCTGAAAATTGATATTCGACTCCCAGAAACCCAATTTTTAGGTGCCGTGTCTCAAAAAGAAAAGAGAGATGAAGGCCATATAATGTACCATAGAGCAAGGCAAACAGCCGCAGCTATAACAACGCTTGTTCAGCGTCAGTTTTTGTTAGCAGTGATGACCTAGCATACAAAGCTTGGATTGAAAGCTTCTATATCTTTTATGTGGACTATATAATCTAGTGAATCTACTTTAGTTTGGCTGTCAGTTCCCCCAGTTTATGTTTGTTGAACAATAGTTTGAAAAAATAACCCCATAGAGGATACTATGACACCGCTCTATGACACCGCTATAGAGGATATTCCATGCATGAAGCCGGCTGACTCAGAGAGGCTATTGTCTGCCGATGCAAAGAAAGATTCAGTTTGAGTTTATTTGTACAGGGCTTTTCTGAATACAGACCCTGCTTAACAACATTTTGAACAATAATTTCCAGTGGAGATCACATTTTTAAGTTTGATGAAAACTGGTTTCAAAAACGTACATCGGTGTATATTGTTAGATATGTAGCCGTGATCAAAGTGGAGGTTACATTTTCTGAAAGGTAAAGGCCGCAAACGATGACGATATTTTCTGAAGCTACCTGCTTGACGAAGGGCTTGTACTCGTTACAAAAAATCATTTCAACAGGCGATTGCATGCGTTTGTTTTATTTAATATGACAAAGTAGATTTATACACGCGAAAGTATACATAGGCAAAAATTCCAAGTTATGAACAGAGCAAAATACAAATTGGTAATGAAAGCCATACAATGTTCAGGTGACGCCAACTGTGTGATACCGTCACAGTATTCCAGTCACATACCTCTAATTATGTCTAATTATTTAAAGTGACGAACGCATGACCCAGGACATAATCAAGATGCATGCCAAATGATATAATCCTCCCAAGCGTTGGGTCCAGTTAAGATTGAATTTTAGATCCCTTGTGGTTTTATTGAAGTAATGTTTCTGGTCCTTTTAAGTTTAACCTTGAAAACAAAATGCATTTCGTCCCGAGAGAGGGCGCTTCATCCAAATATATTAAACGAGGTCACTTAACAAAACGACAAGGAAGATTAGCAGGGACGAACGAGAAACACCATGCCTGATGCGTCTTCCGCCATTAACCTCGTGATCTACAAGGTTGTACAAGACCGGTTAGTATCATTGTTACTCGATTAAACTAAGCAGAGAAGAAAAAGAGTATATATATGAATAATCGACAATGTTAAGAAGCGGTATACTCGTACTATAGGTTTTTTTTATTTTTATTAACTATTCCAAATGTTTCATCGGTCTGATACCAAATGCTTTCTTCTTTTAATAGACTGAGCATTATATAGCATTTGAAGAATATAATTCTTTAATTCGGTTTCGACTCCCCCTTTCCTGGCCTGGGCTGATCATGTTAAATGAAAATATGCTCAGGTCTGACCCATACTATTTTAGGTGCAGCTAAGGCAGCTATATGTCTACCCACTGTACCATATACATGTGTAACAGCCATTGAATACATCAGTTTGAGAGGACTCTTATCGGGCGTAGGAACCTTGGTTAACTGTATAACAACTAAACAGTTTAAAACAAATCTTTACCCCCCCCCCCCCCCGAAAAAAATCAAAAGAAAAACAAAGCTACTGATATAACGATTTTATTTATGCAGTTTATCTCGTTATGTTTTGTAGTATTTATATCTTCAATGTTATTGTTTAGAGCTAGCGTGTACACCTCATGTAACATGTACACCTGAAAAACTGAATATTGCCAAACCGCACCATCTCCAAGCATCCCAAAGATGAACGTTATAGGTATAATAAAAGAAATTATAGGCAAACCCCTAACTCGACACAATGAAGTACATGTATCAGGTATCAAACTATGGTATATTCTGTATTTGTTACTATGAAAGCTGAAGCTATAAGTAAATATTAGTGTAAGTTTCTAGTAGGTGACTTTCGGGAAATCTGTCTGAATTAATAGCACGTGGCATGTGTGTATAAAGTCCACACCCACCACTTAGCAGTAATACATGTAGCAGTAATATCAGTAGAGATATCTTCTATTTCTCACAGCTATTCAAGAAGCACAGAAGAAAGACTATCACCGTGTTTTAGATCCTTCCGCAATATATGTGTAAAGAAATCATCTAATAGGAAAGAATAAAACCACTATATTCAACCGGACTCTGGACTCGTGTTGATCAATTATATATACCTCACCACCGCGAACAACGTAACAAAATCGTGGTAATACTACGATATAGTGTTGTAGAAGAGGATCCATTTTATTAAAAAAAAGGGGATGAAGGCAATGTGCGGCAGAGCAAAACTCATGTTAAAAGAAACTCCCGTTGAAGGTTATGTGTTCTTTGCAGACATATGTCCCGTCTGTGGGGTAATGCAAACAACCTCTGTAATACAACGCTTATTCAGAGCCGGTTTTGTTAACAGTGGTGACCTGAAATACAAAGAGTGGAATGAAAAGCTTCTCTACCTTTTATTTGTACTTTATTATCTAGTGCACTTACTTTAGTTTGGTTGCCATTGCCTACCGTATGTTTGTTGAACGGTTCACTTAGTTTGAAAAACAACATCTTTTATATGTGAAACCGGCTGATGCGGGAAGGCTATTTTCTACCCATGTGAAAAGATTGGAGCTTATTTGAACTTAGCTTTTCTACTACTTTTAAAACAATTCGAATACATTTTCAGGGTTTTTTTTACAGAATATAGAAAAAGATGAGTTTTTTCATCTGAAAGTGAATTTTCATTTGAGACTCACGCCAACTTTAAAAACACTGCCCCATTATGAGATAAGTCTGTCCTAATTTATACGAGGGTTGGGGGCATGAGATGAGAAGCTATACATGAACGTTAAAACGGTATGGAGTTACATACATGTATACGCTTTAATTATCAGTTGTACCATTATAACTAGCCAGCAAAGCCGTTTGGGAGTATAGATGTGTCTTAAAGGAACTAACATGCATGATAGTGGCGGAGTAATAGTCACTGAGATGATATATCAATATCACAATATTTCTGGTGTAAAACATGCATGATTTCCAAATGTTGAATATTTGTTTGTCCATAGACTTTGTCAATATATAAACCAAGGTCATGATATTGGGTATATAATTTTACATTTTGTTAAAGAAATACTACAATTTTACAAGGAATATAATTTTTCAGGGAATAAATAGCTGAGTATAGATCATTAATGTACGTGGGGGAAGTCATTTCCGCGGAAGCACGTGATCTCCACTAATAAAATTAATTTATTTAAATTCTAAAAACCCTAAAAGTTCCATGGACCTTACAATGATAAAACGTTTAAATATTCCAGTATTTCAAACAAGTTATAAAACCATAGTTAAGGCATCAAATTGAAGGCTGCACTTAAAATTAATAGTTTTACAATTGAAACAATTTCAATATTTCTTTGGAAAAGATGTAAAACCATCAAGACATTAAATAAAAGATTAGATTTAGAATAACATTAGCTTTTGACACTTTAAAGAAGTTCAATTATCAAAATCCTTAAAAAGATATGTTTTGAGTTCTCTTTTAAAACCGTATTTTGATGCTATATATATTTGGTGTAATTTAAGCGGCAGTATGTTCCATTCAGCTGGACCCATTACCATAAATGCCTTGTCACTATAGGTTTTCTACATACCGGTGCAAAGAGAGAGATCTCAATACACTTCCTACTGGAACACTGCGCTGGCGCATAGTTCTGATAGTTCTGACAGACCAGACATTATTATGTGAGAGATAATTAAATGTATCAAAACATTTTTTTCAGATGGAGAACACTTACAAAGGAGTGACACCACGGTCATATGGACTTTGAGGCATTTATATGTATAGAAGTTGTCTGCAATGTAACATTTGCTACTTAGAATATGAAAGAAACTCAGGAACAGAGATTTAAAGCCAAGATCACGTGGTGACATTATCAGGTAGGTGGAGCAATAACCGTCGAAACTATTTTTCTTGCTGCTCATTTGAATAAATTCTGTCGACTTATTTTCATAGATGACTCCAATATATATATATATATATATATATATATATATATATATATATATATATATATATATATTCTTTTCAGTAAGATAACATTTTGGTCAGCATTCATCATATAATATTAAAAATTTACGAAAAGACCTGTTTTATAATATGTATGTAGTTGTGGTCATATATAAGCCATTCAGCGTGTAGTACTTAGTTTGTTAATATCTGTCAGCAATCGACTTTCATACTGTTAATTGACATTTTAAAGAAAAAAGTGACGTGCAACAACATTAAAAGTCTGTAAAAAGTTATACAATACATATCAGGCTTTTATTATTTTCTTTTAGAAAAAAATAATTATACTGAATGGAGAATGTGAGATGGTTCTGCAATCGACAATAAGGAATATTTAAATTTTACACAGTTTATGTTTTATTTTGTGTGTGTCAGATTTGTGTACTTTAATAAAACAATTGGTTGGGTATGTGTTCTGATAAAAAAATCCGTTCTAGCCATCTATGGATTTTAGGAAAATCCCTTGCAGACAGTTCCTACCCCAAGTCACCCTGCACTTTCCAGGAAAGAAAATACACTGCATTTGAATAATTTATTTGAGGCATTCACAAATTAAATGTTACTTGCGGTGTGAAGAAAAATAATGGGCAATCCTGTTTACTCTTATAGACAGGAGAAAAGCATAATATATATGGTCACAAAAGTTGGCCAAGTTGTCAGCTGGTGAATACTATTATTTCTGCAGAATGACACTGAAAACGATGCACTTTACTAAAATGTCATAACATCTATAATTTTCATCATAATGGCTTGAAAGTTTCAAGTTAAATAAAAACATATTGATGCAAGTTTACTTCAAAATGCACTGTTGATATGTACTGTGCTGTTAATGTACTGTTAACATTTAGATGTCACAAAACTAGTGTATCTCTCAATTTTGCATTATTTGCTCTTTTTTAAATTATTACCCTAGACTTGAATCTTTATGAACTTCCAGGTTTTTTTTTTAAATACAGACATAATACATAAGAAATAGAAGAAATAATGCTCTTTTAACATGAAAAGATAATTATCAAAAAAAAAAAGTGAGTATTATTTTGCTGCAAAGCGTCATTCACATTTCTGACGCAAAAGTCAACTTCACATTTAAAAAACCAAATGACCATGAGCCCCGAAGAAACAAACTAGCAAACCCACTAATGGTTACAAGAGCATTAGCTCCACCAATTTGTCAGAGGTAATGCAATTTTCTGTCGAAAGATTCAGCAGCTTTTGGTTTTCATGTTGTCTGCTATGACTGTCCGGCAGAAATTTGCCAAATTTTAAGATGATTGGTTAAAATAATTGAAATATAGCTATTAACAGTAACTCAGTTTATACGGGCCTTCACAGGCTTTCTAACCAGGATCCTCCCCCTATCAGGTTTTTTGGGCCATCTGACCAGGAAGGGGCTAACAAACTCTCAACTCCATATACACTGCAAATTTATGTTTGCTTTCTATAGTCATCAACATGTGTCAGGTCTGGTGCAGGCATCGGCGATCATGTTCCTCCAGTTTACTCTATTTTCAGTCGATTGGATGAGCTTGTTATTGTACAGTTGTTGATTTGTTGCGGTAGCATTAAGGCTATCAATTTATGATGTTCTTTGTATTCCTTTTTGCCTTTCTTCTAGCTTATTGTAGTTACCGCAAAAATGACACCCTAAACATTATTTATACGCCTGCCACATGTGTTAATGTATGTAACTGCATGCTCATTTCGAGATGTAATTAGTATATGTTGTGTTCATGCATAGCAAATCCGACTACCCAACATGCATAGCTGAAGATCTTGCAGATTTAAGGATTATGTTTACCCGCCTTTTATTACATTTAGGCTATAAGATTCAGTATATGAATAAACACATTAATTACCAACGCATGGTCACTAAACTGGCACTGCTGGCCTTGGTGCGTTTGGTATATTATATTCTAATAGCTTGCCTTTGACACTATTAGTTTGTTTTCCATGTTGTGGACAACATGATCCGTATGCTTGTTCAAAACCATCATAGAAACATAGCTACTCTATGTGGATAAATGTGTAAAGGTGAATCATATGCATTCGTATCTACAAAACCTATAAACAGGTAAACACTTTTCCTTTCCAGAGATTGATATATTATTTCAGTCAGCTTGTATAACTGCTGTCTTTTTTCCCTTTAGGTTATCATTTCAAACCGTTTCTTTAGACACTGAGGATTGAAACACCAATGACCTTTTTATGAGACTATTAATTGTAAACTCATCGATTAAATAAGGGTATTAGACGATTATCATAATGCCATCAAGCACAGTATTGCGCAGTGGCTTACGACCTGAAAGCTGAAAGGTGAATTCACGCCAGCTCCTATTTGAAGGAGAAGATGTTCAATTTCGAGCATTTGCCGTACAGAAACTGATCAATAAGCAATAGATTCAAGGCAGCAGTCAGTAAATGACTTTAGAAAACGGTAGCAGATTCAAGACTTAGCCCAGGGCAGAGAAACAGTGGACATTCCAGTACCTCTGTGTGCTAGCAAAGAAAAGAAAATGAACTAATACTCAGTTCAGTGCAGGGAGACAGCAGATATATCAACGCCTTTGTGTGCTGGTAGAAAACAGTGAAGGAACCAAGACTAGACCATTGCAGGTAGACATTAGTCATATCTATATCTTGTGTGCTAGTAGATAACAATCAAGGAACCAACACTCAGCCCAGTGAAAAGATACAATAAACTTCACTCTGCCTGTGTGAGTGAAGGAATTATACTAGTGCAAGAAGGCAGGAAGGGAAGGCCTACATATGTGTGTGTGTGTGTGTGTGTGTGTGTGTGTGTTTGCTAGTACACCCCAACCTTTGGAAATGCAATCGAGTACAAGAAGCATTTGCCTTATACCGTTTATGTTATAATGTATACAACTTCCCCCTGTTCACACTTTGATGAAACCGGACTGATCATAATTTGGTTTATATATGGTAGCAGCAGTAAAACCACAATTAATCCTGATTAACTTACTTTTATAAAAAGCCTAAAACACTCCTGTAATCATGCTGCTGCTTTGCACAATCTATTGCATTAAAAAACAATGCACGTCCTGTCAGACACACCAGGAAGACAGCCTGCTATGTTGTCGAGTTGTGCACAGTAATTGATGTCCCAGATAGGGAGTTGACTCTTCGTATTGTATCTCCAGTTGAACCAATAGCTGCCTTTTTGTGATCATTGGCACGCATGTTCATTTTCACCTCTAGAAATGGCTTCATCTAAAAAGGATGCGTCCGAAATATTATATGGCCGAGGGGATGTGCAACAAATCAAAGACAAAAGTGACAATGATAATAATATCCTATTGTTTGGTGACGAGAATGAAAACTTGGATCACCAAGGTGATATACACCCAAACTTTGATGGAGACAGAGCCAAACTAGATATCCTACAAAAACTTGAAGAAGATCCAAATTATCGAGGACCGGGCACGGACCAGGTAGAAACATGGACAGGCTTAAACCTTAAAGGGTTAGGATGCAGAATCCCCGAGAGCTTATCACGTTGTAAAAACCTGAGAATGTTAGATGTTTCCAATAACACTCAAATGGACGAAGAACAGATAGTGAACATATGTAGCTTAAAAACCTTGGAAGAGTTAGATATGTCTAATTCAAATATTTCTACAATATCGCCAGACATTATTTTGCCCAAGCATTTGAAAAAACTGGACTTGTCACAAAACCAATTGACAGACCTTCCACTTCCATTATGTGACCTGGCGAATCTGAGGGAGCTTGATCTAAAAGGCAACAAAATAGCATCCATCACGCCACAACTTAAGCAACTTTGCAGCTTAAAGAAGTTAGACCTCTCCAGCAACCCTTTGGAAGAATTCCCGCTTGAAGTGTGTAAAATAAAAACTCTGGAAAACATTTCCATGAAGAATACAGGCTATGTATCAGTACCGAAAAAGATAACATTACTTCAAAACCTGAAGGAATTAAGCATGTCATCGAATAGTTTGAAAAAATTCCCACCATATCTATGTGGACTAAAGACACTAGAATCCCTTGACCTGTCAGAAAACGAAATCACTACAGTGCCATCGGAAATTAAAGAACTAAAGGATATGAAGATTTTAAACCTATCCCATAACAAGTTGGGGGAACTGCCTTTGCCAGTGTGTGCGTTGGTGAGACTGGAAACACTTGACCTTGAGAATAACCAAATCTCCACATTGCCACCTGAGATATCGCAACTTAAAAGTCTGAAGAAACTAAACCTGTCTGATAAGAATTTCAAAGAATTTCCGTTGTCAGTATGTAAGTTGATTAGGCTGGAGGCACTTTCATTCAGGAATACCAATATTACTACAGTTCCATCCCAGATAACACAACTTAGGAGTGTGAAACAACTAAACCTGTCCAATAACAAGTTGGAAGAACTCCCGTTGCCACTTTGTGAATTAGTGGGACTAGAGACTCTTTATCTTGAGGGAAACAAATTCATTACAGTGCCACCTCAGATATCACAACTTAAGAATTTGAAACAACTGAACTTGTCCAATAACAAGTTGGAAAAAATCCCGTCTCCAGTGTGTGAGTTGGTGAGACTGGAGACACTTGGCCTAAGGAATAATGAAATCACTACAGTATCACCTCAAGTAACACCACTTAAGAATCTGAAACAATTGGACTTGTCAAATAACAAGTTGGAAGAACTCCAATTGCCACTATGTGAATTAGTGGGACTAGAGACTCTTTACCTTGAGGGAAACAAATTCATCACAGTGCCACCTCAGATATCACAACTTAAGAATTTGAAACAACTGAACTTGTCCAATAACGAGTTGATAAAAATCCCGTCTCCAGTGTGTGAGTTGGTGAGACTGGAGGCACTTTCATTACCGGGGAACAACATCACTTCAGTACCACCTCAGATAACACAGCTTAAGAATCTGAAACAATTGGACTTGTCCTATAACATGCTTAAAGAACTCCCGTTTACAGTGTGTGAGTTGGTGAGACTGGAGACACTTTCATTTTGGATGAACAAAATCACTACAGTACCACCGGAGATAGCGCAACTTAAGAATCTGAAACGATTGTACCTGTTCAATAACAAGTTGGAAGAACTCCCGTTGCCAGTGTGTGAGTTGGTGAGACTGGAGACACTTAGCCTACAGAATAACCAAATCACTACAGTGCCACCTCAGATATCACAACTTAAGAACCTGAAATATTTGTATCTGTACTCTAACAAGTTGGAAGAACTCCCGTTGCCAGTCTGTGAGTTGGTGAGACTGGAGACACTTGACCTACATAATAACCAAATCACTAGAGTACCACCTCAGATAACACAACTTAAGAATCTGAAAAAATTGTACCTGTCCAATAACAAGTTGGAAGAACTCCCGTTGCCAGTCTGTGAGTTGGTGAGCCTGGAGACACTTGACCTACAGAATAACCAAATCACTACAGTAATACCCGAGATATCACAACTTAAGAAACTGAAACAATTGAAGCTGTCCAATAACAAGTTGGAAGAACTCCCGTTACCAGTGTGTAAGTTGGTGAGACTGGAGACACTTGACATAGAGAATAACCAAATCACTACAGTGCCACCTCAGATATCACAACTTAAGAATCTTTTGGATTTGAACCTGATAGGGAATATTTTAATACAGCCACCACAGGAAGTAGCAGATAGAGGAAAGGATGCCGTTTTTAGATATTTTGATGATCTTATCAAAAGTAGAGCGACATCATCATCAAGACTACAGGTAAATATCCTTGGTGAAACATGTGCAGGGAAGACAAGTTTAGTGAAAACTCTGACATCCGGAAGCCCTTTCTTAACAACTACGTCAGACAGAACACACGTCATGGAGCAGATCCAGTGGTCGCCAAAGGAAGACGTTTTCCTTAACATTAACGATTTTGGTGGTCATGAAGTCTACAAAGTCGCACATAATTTCTTCATAACCAAGGAAGCAATCACACTGATAGTGTTCAATCTCCAGGATGTCTCTTTGAAATATAACGACATTGTCAGAAGCTGGATAGATAACGTTCACAGCAGAGCACAAGATTCAACCATATTACTTGTAGGTTCTCATGCAGACCGCCTGAACAATGAAGAGTTGGAAACCAGAAAAAAACAGGTGTTGCGTGCTCTCAGGTTTCACTTACGTGATAAGGCATTCGAATTAAGAACAATTCTGGAAGAATTAGAGAAAAGGGGTGCCTTCAGAAAGCCGTATCCAGAGGCGTACAATGAAAAGATGAAGCGTATCAAAATGCTGATACAAAATCCACCATATATTAACAGAAGCGTTTTTGTCACTAGTTCTCAAACTGGATACGGAATGGTCGAACTTAAAGAAGAGTTAATTAGAAGAGCTAAAGAAAAGAAATTCGTACTCCCTGAGACATGGCTGCAGATGGTGGAGCACATAGAGACAGCAAAAAAGAATGGACAATATCATTTCCTAACTCTGGAGTCCCTTGCAACAATGGCAGAGAAGACACCTCCACAAATGCAAAGAGGTGGCGAATCCCAAAGAATTGAAGACGTGTTGAATTTCTTACATGCTACAGGTGTTGTTCTTTGGTTCAGAGACAAGCCGTTGCTGAAAAACTTCATATTCCACAGACAAGATGTTTTCATTGATATCTTAAGAGCAGTCCTCTGCCACGATATGAAATCAGTTCTTGTGTACGATACTGACCCTTTCAACAAAAAGTACACTGAAAGGAAATTTGAATCAGCAAAGAAAGATGTACTGCAAAGAGGTGTGATCAGTAAAACCATGTTGGAGTGTTTATGGTGGCGATTTAACTTTGAAAACCCCGGTCTTGATGCCATGATAGAGTTGCTAAAGAAATTTGAGATTTGTTACGTTGTGAAACGTGCTGATGAAAACCGATACCATTTCCCATGGCTTCTGAATGAAGATAGACCAAATTGTATTTCCTCAAAATGGCCTTCTCTTCCATCAAGAGAGAAGTTGCAGATTTCGACTGAGGTCCATTTTCCCACCGCCTGTCCCCCTGGTCTCTACGAAATGGCGGCAGTGCATCTCCATGGTTTTTTAGGACATTACAAATCAACATCTCAAGACTGGAAAGATGGTTTTTATGCTGAACTCGACAGCCAGTTCCAAATGTGTTTTGAGAGAAGGCTCAGTGGAAGATCAACCAATGGAGTTCTTCGTCTCTCCATACGCGGTGAAAATCCTGCTCAGCTGAAGGAGCACAGCCTGGTGATTTTTCAGGATCTTGTAGCTCTTGTGGAGAGAGAATTTCCCGGTTCTCCTCGCGATGAATTCCTGGTGTGTCCACACTGTGTACGAGAGGAGAAGGATCCACCAACCCTGTTTGACGCCCCTAAATCTATACTTAATGTTCCCCTTGAAGAACCAGCACCTTATCATCCGTGCCCCGAGGAAGATCCCAACAACTTGGCTTCAGCAGACTTCTTCTTTCCAGTAACAAAAGGTAAATAAAACCATTTTATAATAACACGTACTACAATTTTGTTGCGTGTTACTATATAAAATGTAACTTTTTATCAACTTGTATGGATTATTATTATTTGATATCGCAGAAATCAGTGCAGGTGAGGTTGTAATTTTGTGTTAAGTAATTTTGCACGTAGGTCATTGATATTTCGTTCCCCCTACATCTAAAGACAAGATATTTTCTTTTATAGGAAAAATGACAACCCTGCACTGTACATCCCTTGACAAACACGTTAACCACACTGTGAAGATCATCCGCGGTACATTCAACAGTCTCCGCAAGATACTCAGTCGACTCAGTAAATCCGGTATGCTAACTGAGGAAGAAAAGACAACATTCCTTGATCCAGACGAAGATTTTAGACTTTCGACATTCCTTAAAGCCAAGAGCGATTTTGCCTTTTACGTGTTCTGTGGTGCTCTCCATGACAGCGGACATCCAGAAACGGCTCGGATGCTGAGGTAGGTTTTGAAAGGTCGATGCAGGCGTCGATTTATAATAGTTTTTTGGACCAAAAAGCTGTTCTGGTCTCTCAGCCAAAAGTGCAGTCTACTTTAACCCAATATAAGTCAGTTCTATCCCTATTAAATGAGGTATCTTGTTTGTTTAATAGCAAGAAGGGTGTGGCTTAATCAGGATATTAATATGGATTAATGTCGAACTGAAGTGGATCAAATTTTTCTTGAATTGAAATTAACATAACTCTTCTTTCGCGTAACTGGTCCAAAGTTGCACCAAAGTTGTTGCCTTTGCTTCAATTTTAGTGTTTCTATGTTTGTTACAATCGAGCGGTTCGTTTATAATTTTATTATTATTATTATTATTATTATTATTATTATTTAATATTGAACAGTCCTCACTTCTAAAATTGATATACATTATTGATTTTGTAAATTTGAAGTATACTTGAAATTAATTTCTGAAATAAAACTTTAAGCCAGAAAATTAGGGAAAAATTAGTAAAACTTGATGTTTTAGTGAGGAATAACAACGGTCTGGAGCTTTCTAACGTTTATTCAGCGACCCTCACAAGTATTTATATGCTATTTCTCCGTGCTGATCATGCATTTACTTGTTTTCTTTCCATTGTCTTTGCGTGATGACAAGGACTTTTCCATTATCATGTTGCAAACCATCATTCAACATTTCCTTATAAGGTAATTTGTAAGAAATTTGTCGTTAACTAAAAACATTTAAAATGTCATTTGAATTACTCATGCTTGCGCTATATCCATCCTTAGTTAGCATGTGTTAAAATACACGTGTCAGAAACTTGGAAAATATATTAAGAAATTAACCAATCAAATCGAAGTATATGTGACTTTGACATGTTCCATCTTTTTCTACTACGAAATAAATTTCTACATCTGTTGACTCTTGAAGAAATTTAACTTGCTCTCAAGAATTATCTATCCTTTTACTCATTTGATTCCGTTAAAATTATTATCTGCAATAAGTGAAATTGTAATTCATTTACGTTACAACATTGATACTCAATGACATAGAGTAGTTGATACCTCCCGTTTGCATAACACAGAGGGAGTACAGCTGGATACAATTTGCAAGGCTGATTTGAAAATTGTAATTTTGTTCCTTTCACTCTGCTTTTAAAATCACTAGGTACAATAACCGGGAAAAATACTAGTAAATTACCGATAAGTGTGTGAGCACGGCTAAAACTCAATCGATGAAATGTCCGTTATATACAAAATTGACGTTTGGCTCTCTGGCTACATGCCAAATGGGCTGTACAAACTCTTTCTGCGTCTATCTGTCTCTGATATTACGCTCGATATTTTTTCTAATTACTCATAAGGTTGCCCGACTTGGCTATGGAGCTTCCAGAAGACGCCCTCGGTGAGATATTGCAGAAATTGCTGGACAAAAGAGTGATCAATGATCAAGACAGGGATCAAGTGTGGCGTGAATCAGACAAAGAGCAGAGAGTATCGGCACTGGTGAGGAAGCTTAGGGAGGGAAAGCGAGACTACGAGGCGGAGCGTGCCTTCTCTGAGTTCGGGGATGCCATAGATGAAGAGATAGCCAACCAGAAGAAGATGACAGGAAATACTTCTTAGGTATGCTATTTTGTACATTAGACCTAGATATATATTGTTTTTCATCACAACAAGGCCGTCATTATTATTATTATTATTATTATTATTATTATTATTATTATTATTGTTGTTGTTGTTGTTGTTGTTGTCGGTAGGACGGTCGAATTTTATTTTCGTCTTTATCGGCCTAAGTTTAATGCTTCGGCCAGCAGACAGAAGGCTTACATAATATCAACACTGACATTTAAAATAAATATATACATATAAGCTTATTAATTTGCGTCATCTTGATAAGCGTATGACCACAGTAATTAAGATTAGTGTCGGTTTGAATTATTATCATTTTACTTTTTTTGTAATTTTTATGTGATATTATGTAACGTTTTGCAAGGAACACATTGTAGGCACCCATATTTGATATACTGTAGAGTAATTGGCGGAGCTCTGATTTGGTCTCCTAAACAATGGCTGTCAGATCATAATTATCACATTATAATACACATTTCAGAGTTGTATTTTTTCTTGCTTCACAGACGGTCTTCACAGACATTCCATTGTTAACCGTTATGAAGGTCAACAAAAAACAGAGAAGGGTCCGCCACTACAGCCATATGCCGCGTCGCACAATGCAATACAAGAACATTAATTGAACCCTAATACAAAGATGGATAACGCGTCACTAGCAGCTGATCGGTTTGACTGACAGGCTAAAAAGTCCTTCAGATGAGTCCATGCAAAGGGGAATAGCATTCGACTCTGTCAAAATGGTGACTTGGAATTCTGCTCAAAACACCATGGAACAGCAAACGATAGCTTGTTCATTTATCACAAACTGGGTCATTTATACATGTCACCTAATGTGTTAGCACTGATGAAACTTTCGTGACATTTGAAAGGACGAACTTCACAGTAAAACACTCGATTCCATGCACTGCTCTGCTGTTGACCATGAACTGCGCATAGCACCACGTTAACAGTGACACGCGCAACTCTCTATTATGGATTTAGACAAATGTCGTCTTACAGTACGAATACTAATGTAAAACAGACGGACTGAAACCATGTAAAATAGGTTATTATACTGTATATAGTTTGCAGTACAGAACGTTTTTGTAAGTAGTTAGCACATTGCTTTACTCTTGTACAGTGATCGTAGCTGATATGACATTTGCTTATTGATGTACTGTAGGCATGTTATGTACATAGTCTTATCTGGATAACAGAACCAAGTCCAAATGCACCCCTCCCCCCCTTATATAGGGATGGTGCCTGTGTAGGAGTTGACCACAGATTGCTCTAGATTGTAAATATTGGAACCAATGTAAATATTTTGTATAATTATCTTATATCTGGGTATTCGCTGTTGTATAACAACCCTCTGGCAATATAAAACATTACGGGGTACATGTGCCTTTGATGCATTTGTCCCGTTGTTTAAAAATGCGATTTTATAGTTGGGTATTTGCAAAGTAATGTTAATATTGAGGACAACAAAACTACATGTTGACCTCATCCATAGTTAATGAATGTAGACGATTTTTACAAGATGTGGGCTTTTTTTGCAAACTTGATTGCAGCTATTTGTATATACTTTTATACCACACTTGTTAAAGGAAATATGGCTACACATTCGTTTTATTAGAAAACAGATGTTTTTGACCGAGATATTTTAGTTTGCAGATACACTACGGTAGACAGCCTTTAGTAGTAGTAGTAGTAGTAGTAGTCTGACATTTGTGCATTATATTATTTATATCAGTCACTAATGGTATTGTTCATAATCCCTGTGGTGTACTTATTTTAAAGAATTAAGTATAAGGGAAGATAAGTGAAACAAGTATAGTGTATAAATAGATCATTCGTTAGTAGGCTGATAAAATTATTTCACTGTCCATTAAATCATAGATATGAAGAAATTTGCTGAACTTCCCAGTTTCCCCCCTCTAGATGGCGGTAGTGTGGTCTGGTATGTTCAATCATAATAACAACTGCTCAGATAAAAACATTTATTAGGTTAGGCAGTAACCTGCACGATATTGCTTCATTCTGGGGTGGTTTAGTGTCTGGGATTTTCTTCAGGTGTATTGTGAAATATGTTGAACACAAATGCGCCCCACGTATATGTTTTAAATACATTGTTTAAAACATTGTTTCCATTCAGATAATGGTGAGTGTTGAATAGAAACTAAGTAAACCTAGATACAAAAAAGGTTCACTACGTCCTATGAAACTAGCTGAACTCAAAATTCAGAAAATTTCACTTCTTTGGGGATTGTCTGCATGGCGGTATAGATACTATATCCGCATATATTTCAACTGATTCAGTGTAAAGTTTTTCTTTATGAACGTAAGACATATGTTCATAACATATTACTAATTATATCTTATGTATTTTGGTGTTCCCGTGCGTAAAACTAGTTTTGGCCATCCCTCAATACATTACCCACATGACATTTGCCTCCATAAATTATTGATCTTTTACATCTTACTCTCAGCCCACAGGGTGCGCTAGTAGTCTGGTACAAAATTTCTATTTCACAGCTGATACTTGAATTGAGAAGGCAATGATATCAGAGGGCATTACGTCCCATGAAATATGTTAACAGTTTTGAACCCAGTGAAAAGTCGAATATTTGTGTGATAAATAGTCATGAAGAGGGAAAAGTTGTGGAATGGTCTGTTTTAAATCCTACATGTGGTATTACATGCATCAGTATGTTTATATTTAGATTGTAGTCTTATGAAAGTAACACAATATAGTTAATGTGATATTTACTTTTAGAATTGTGTGCATAATTCTATAGATGAACATGTTATATGTTAATTAGATATGTAGCAAGGAATACTTCTTGGTTGTGGCAATACTGATTTCTGGTTGACAGACAAAAAATCATTCAAGGTAAAGGGGCGAATTGACAGCACGGAATGATGTTTGATATGGGCCACAGTCAACTGTTTTGTTTTACATGTAAAATGTGAAATGCATACAATTTTACAAATGTTTGTCTCCATTTGAGAAAGTTTACTGGACTTGAAAATGCTGTAATACCGTGCATGGAATGGAAAATAAGCATTAATCATTATTCCTCAAAAATTTTGCTCATCAAAATTTACTAATTGATATTTAACTGCCGAGATTTGCAGATTTAGAAAAAAATCTTGAAGATATGTTCGGAATTGCATATAAGTGTATGTTGTATCCGATTTGAAGTTCTGGGTAATTTAAACGATTATTGATTGATTATGCCAGTCCAGAATAGGTCTCCAGTTTCAAAAAAATATCTTTTAAGAGAGGGGTAGTAGACCCGCCATTGTTTTTTAAAGGAAAATTGTAAAAGAAGTGTTGTCGCCTTTTTTTTTCAGAAATATGCAGTTTATGCTCTATAAGATCAAGCATAATAAACGTAAAACATTGTTTAGTTGATATTAGAATTTGTTGGTTAAAGTGAATGATTATGAAGGTTTTATTTCTGGTCGATGTCTTAAAATTTTCTGCCATTTTACCATTAGAATTAAATCTTTCCAAATATAAACAAAATGTCTTAGCGTTTGCATTGTTTCCCTGGAAAATCCAAATCATGGGTCTGGAATTTGGTGGATGGGGAGGGTTACAAAATACTTTTTAGAATGGCTTTTAGAATTTACATTTTCAGTGGTTAGTTTTAGAAAAAAAAGTCCAAACGTTTTTTTTCTCTGACTTCTACTGACCTTGGCTCTATATGAACAACACTCACCAAAAACCCACCTGATTATTAAAATAATCTACAGTCCAGCCCCTTTTCCGTACGGAAGCGTTGATTTCAGATTAACCATTCGTTATATACGGCACAATGAATCCCTGTCCCGAAAGTTTGTTCAGGTTTGGTGAATTTAAAATGGATGGAGAAAAAAATCACATTTTTATAAGAAGTCACATTTGACATGAAGTGATTAGGTTTCGCGGTCAAAAGTAATATGAATGGACCCCATAAAAACATTGGCGAACGATTGTGTTAGAGATGACAAGATGTGATTTTTAACGCAATCCACGACGCTTGGTTATCGTGCAAACATGACATCTAGTTAAATGAAAAAAAAAAAAAAATGAAATTTGTGTAATTAACTATCTTAAGAATTAAATAAAAAATATATTTATTGTTAGTAAATTTCAGTCTGTGTATGTGTACATACAATTGCCAACACTTTTTAAGACCAAAAGAAGTAATTTATCAACATGACCACAGTGTAAATTTATCAATCACTTTATTGTTCACATTTTTACACAATAACCGAACTGAGTGCTTGAGGATACAAAACAGACCAAAACTACCGATATACACTGATACCACGGTACAACACTGTTCAACTTTACAGACACTTCATATATCTTACTTAAAAATACTTCTTAACTGGGTATTATACCGTGACAATTTCCGATCAAGTGACGTTATTTGGCATTCAGTGTTTTTCTATAAAAAACATTACACTTGATCATACATTGTCATTTGCCTTGCGGTAATTACCTAATATTTTCAAGGCCGACATTTTTTGTCTAAAACTTTTTTCTAAATTCGTCAGTTTTTGACTTTATGCAATTTTTTACACAAATGCAAGTAACTTTTAAATCAGCATTAATACCAACACAGTTAAAGGGGGAGATTCCCAAAATTTTTGGTCTGAAAATAATAAGTAACTACCGTAATTAAATGAAACTGGCAAATTGGACACTTGTCTCGTTACGAGCAGTAATCAAAACAACAACCGTTGGCTATAAAGCATCATATGTATACATAATATATATACAAACTATATACAGTATCATAGAGCACGTACATGTGAAATTTATATAGATAATACATAACTTGGGTAAGTCTGACTGACGCACAAGGGTCCTATATGAGGGTCGTCGTATCAACTACTTAAGAGTCCAACAACCCTTGTCCAACTGTCAACATGGGGCACGGGGGGCCTCACGCTCCTCTCTCTCTCTCTCTTAATAAAAACAATCTTGCTGTCCGGGATCTCTCCATTTTTGCAGAGTCGGATGTCGTGTGACTGTTCGAGATTTACAAAGTAGGAAGCGGAATAAGCTACATTACTGAACCATGGTACCTAAATATGTAACTTCTGGTCCACAATTTTCTTCTTGAAACTTGCTGTTCACCCTCCGATGACTTTAAGGAAACAAAATATATTTATAATATGAAATAATAAATAAGTTAAGAAAAGAAAGCTCCACTTGCAAATCCCCACGTGTAACAACACCAAAGAGCCCCTGTGTCCCTAATGCTGATGATTTTATCCCTCCCACTCAGTGGTAATCAAGGCAACATTCATTACTTTCTTCACACCAATGGCAGTAAAATTAAATACAACATACCTGATAATGCAATATCGTACTTCGTCAGGCTGAATGAAAACGTTTCAAGGAAATTTCATCAAATACTTGTCCCAACACATTGGAAATATCCACAAGATAGTCACACTTAAGATCAAAACTTTGTTTTACAACCAAAACCAGCCAAAATATTCTAAGAAAATTTGTTTACAGTATATTGCATCAAGATTAAATCACATGTTCCAATACATCAAGAAGAGACCATGGTCCTTCTTAGTGGAATTGTGGGATATGTTGCACTGAATTCTGGGATCACACATTTTGAACTTATCACAGGTCAAGTGTACAGGATTTGAAAAAAAAAAAAATCAGGAAATAAATAATTCTGTGTGTGAGGTATTAATGACTATCAAAGACCGAGTCTTTCAGAAAAAATAAATAAACAAAATAAACTATTAAGAGCACACACAAAGACAATTTTAAGTAATAATCTCTGCAAACATTTCAATCAAATATTAATGCAATTAACAGTTAAGACCTTTCATCTTCCCTTTCAAAGGACTCATAAGTAGATACATAAGGACCCGGCCCATATTCTAGTCTTTGTCACAACAAAATTCCTAGCAAACAAGTTGTTCCTCTGTCAGTTCTGGTAGTTTGTTTATGTTGTTATTGACAGTACATTGTTGTGTGGTTTCACTGCCACTGTTACTGTTATTGCTAGTACTGGTGATATTGCTGCCGGTGGCGTTACAAGTGTCTGTGTTCGGTTCCGAATTTTCGTCTTTATAGATATTGCTAGAAAGCTCCTCGTTTGGGCATATTTTAGACTCCCCAGTGTTGTACTTGAATTTCTTGGGCGTGCCCAGGTCTTGTTTCTTGTGGGGGCTCTCTGGGGGGTGTGTCCTGCGACAGCCAATGGGAGAGCCTAGAGGGGATCGCAGCAGGGCAGGTGAGGTAGGCACTTCCACTTTCAACCAGGAATGCTGCAGACAGTCACGTGCTGAAATGCGCTCTCTGAAGATAGAAGAAGGCAAAATTAGTGAGATAAATCATTAAAGTGATCTCACAAAATATTCAGTTTTTTATGTTTCTAAAAGTATACATCTCATTCATTCAAATATTTTATTAAGTGATCTAAAAAAATATTCAATTTTTAAGTTTCCAGAAGTATATATCTGGCCATTCAAATATTTTAAACAGTTGCAATATTTATCATTTAACAGATTTTGATTGATACATATACCAGAAGATGATAAACCAAGTAGAGTGCTATGCCTACAGAGGGCAAATAAAGAGCTAAACATGGTTTTTCCAACAAGCAAACAATACCGCTACTGTGGCACTATTACCCAGATGACTGATGATGTAAATGTTGTGAAAAAAACTACTGGACAGAAACAATCACAGCTGGTGAATAGGCAAGTAGAGAAAATAATTGTAAAAAATTTTCTAGAAATATATTTTTTTCCTATGCCCCCTTTGGGNGCGCCAGTACGCGGAGCCGGCGGAGCCAACGGAGCTGGACGAGACGGGTCGGGACTAAAACCATGAGTACCGCCAGCGTACACGCTGGCGGTACTAATGACGCCGCTGTCCCACAACTGCACTTCAAACTTCACCGATTGGACCATAAAATTTTTAAGCAATAACATATCAAACATTATTAATCTTTTCGAACTGAAATTAAGTAAAGATTATTACTAATAAGGATTCTTAGCATCTATCAACTTTTAACAAATAAACAAAATTGCTAACACTTCTTAAGACCAAAAGGAGAAGTAATTTATCAACATGACCACAGTGTAAATTTATCAATCACTTTATTGTTCACATTTTTACACAAAAACCGAACTGAGTGCTTGAGGATACAAAACAGACCAAAACTACCGATATACACTGATACCACGGTACAACACTGTTCAACTTTACGGACACTTCATATATCTTACTTAAAAATACTTCTTAACTGGGTATTATACCGTGACAATTTCTGATCAAGTGACGTTATTTGGCATTCAGTATTTTTCTATAAAAACCATTACATTTTATCATACCTTGTCATTTGCCTTGCGGCAATTACCTAATATTTTCAAGGCCGACATTTTTTGTCTAAAACTTTTTTCTAAATTCGTCAGTTTTTGACTTTATGCAATTTTTTACACAAATGCAAGCTACTTTTGACCCAGCATTAATAATAACACAGTTAAAAGGGGAGATTCCCAACTTTTGTGGTCTGAAAATAATAAGTAACTACCGTAATTAAATAAAAATTGGCAAATAGGACACTTGCATCATTACGAGCAGTAATCAAAACATCAACCATTGGCTATAAAGCATCATATGTATACATAATATATATACAAACTATATACAGTATCATCGAGCACGTACATGTGATATTTATATATAGATAATACATAACTTGGGTAAGTCTGACTGACGCACAAGGGTCCTATATGAGGGTCGTCGTATCTACTACTTAAGAGTCCAACTACCCTTGTCCAACTGTCAACATGGGACACGGGGAGAGGGGGTGGGGGGAGAGAGAATGGGGACAATAGGTGCTCTCACTAAACCTGCATGCTTTTGGTTCAAGCTCCTCTCTCTCTCTTAATAAAAACAATCTTGCTGTCCGTGATCTCTCCATTTTTGCAGAGTCGGATGTGGTGTGACTGTTCGAGATTTACAAAGTAGGAAGCGGAATAAGCTACATTACTGAACCATGGTACCTAAATACGTAACTTCTGGTCCACAATTTTCTTCTTGAAACTTGCTGTTCACCCTCCAATGACTTTAAGGAAACAAAATATATTTATAATATGAAATAATAAATAAGTTAAGAAAAGAAAGCTCCACTTGCAAATCCCCACGTGTAACAACACCAAAGAGCCCTCTGTCCCTAATGCTGATGATTTTATCCCTCCCACTCAGTGGTAGTCAAGGCAACATTCATTACTTTCTTCACACCAATGGCAGTAAAATTAAATACAATATACCTGATAATGCAATATTGTACTTCGTCAGGCTGAATGAAAACGTTTCAAGGAAATTTCATCAAATACTTGTCCCAACCCATTGGAAATATCCACAAGATAGTCACACTTAAGACCAAAACTTTGTTTTACAACCAAAACCAGGCAAAATATTCTAAGAAAATTTGTTTACAGTATATTGCATCAAGATTAAATCACATGTTCCAATACATCAAGAAGAGACCATGGTCCTTCTTAGTGGAATTGTGGGATATGTTGCACTGAATTCTGGGATCACACATTTTGAACTTATCACAGGTCAAGTGTACAGGATTTGAAAAAAAAATCAGGAAATAAATAAGTCTGTCTGTGAGGTATTAATGACTATCAAAGACCGAGTCTTTCAGAAAAAATAAATAAACAAAATAAACTATTAAGAGCACACACAAAGACAATTTCAAGTAATAATCTCTGCAAACATTTCAATCAAATATTAATGCAATCAACAGTTAAGACCTTTCATCTTCCCTTTCAAAGGACTCATAAGTAGATACATAAGGACCCGGCCCATATTCTAGTCTTTGTCACAACAAAATTCCTAGCAAACAAGTTGTTCCTCTGTCAGTTCTGGTAGTTTGTTTATGTTGTTATTGACAGTACATTGTTGCGTGGTTTCACTGCCACTGTTACTGTTATTGCTAGTACTGGTGATATTGCTGCCGGTGGCGTTACAAGTGTCTGTGTTCGGTTCCGAATTTTCGTCTTTATAGATATTGCTAGAATGCTCCTCGTTTGGGCATATTTTAGACTCCCCAGTGTTGTACTTGAATTTCTTGGGCGTGCCCAGGTCTTGTTTCTTGTGGGGGCTCTCAGGGGGGTGTGTCCTGCGACAGCCAATGGGAGAGCCTAGAGGGGATCGCAGCAGGGCAGGTGAGGTAGGCACTTCCACTTTCAACCAGGAATGCTGCAGACAGTCGCGTGCTGAAATGCGCTCTCTGAAGATAGAAGAAGGCAAAATTAGTGAGATAAATCATTAAAGTGATCTCACAAAATATTCAGTTTTTTATGTTTCTAAAAGTATACATCTGATTCATTCAAATATTTTATTAAGTGATCTCAAAAAATATTCAATTTTTAAGTTTCCAGAAGTATATATCTGGCCATTCAAATATTTTAAACAGTTGCAATATTTATCATTTAACAGATTTTGATTGATACATATACCAGAACATGATAAACCAAGTAGAGTGCTATGCCTACAGAGGGCAAATAAAGAGCTAAACATGGTTTTCCAACAAGCAAACAACTACCGCTACTGTGGCACTAGTACCCAGATGACTGATGATGTAAATGTTGTGAAAAAAAAAAAATACTGGACAGAAACAATCACAGCTGGTGAATAGGCAGTAGAGAAATAATTGTAAAAATATCTAGAAATATATTTTTTCTATGCCCCTTTGGTGGCTAACCAGGCAGAGTGTTTTATCGCTCTCATGTATCAGATCATATGCAACACAGCAGTACTCTGATTAGTATATTATGACTGAACTATCTTTACTATTCACAGATTTCAATCACCTGTCATTTTTTCCCCAATATATCAATCCTTTAATGTTATTAATTTTGAGGTTCTAAAATAATTATGTTATCTGACACGAATCTTACAAAACAGCAAAATAATTATTCATTATTCTCTCTCTCTCTCTCTTTGGGGTTGTGTTTATCTTATTAATAAAAATAGGTTGGGAAAATATCAGCAATCTACTTTTACGCATTTATGCAGCAACTTTCATAAGAACTACCAGGGCTTTACAAAACCTGGGACAAAACAGCCACCTGCTGGCAAGCAGACAGACAGGCAGGCGTGAAAACCCAAACAGAATACACTTCCAATAAGTCTATCTTGGAGGTTGAAAGCCACTTACTGGCATAATCCAGGGATGGATTAGCATGTGGTGATTTAATTGCGACATAACGCGCCTACGCCCTGTGTTAAAACTGCATGTATCTTATTACCTCATCTTTTCAGGTACGAGTTGTTTAGCCATTACAACATGCAAGAACCAAGTGATAGCATGGTACCTGGAGGGGGAGCAATCATTTAATCTGATATCAGTCATAGATCATTACATGAAAGCTCCCTTGATATAACTAAATATCATATGCAAACATCACTTTTGAAAATCCAGAATCCCTCGGATAAAATAGTAGGCTGTATGAATTTAATTCTGGTGTCTGAGAAAATTTATGAACATCACAAAAGGACTAAAGTTGTTTCTTTATGCAAAAATTTATGAACATCACCACAAAAGGACTAAATTTGTTTCTTTATGCAAAAATGTCAAATCAAAAATTTTCTATTTTTCTTATTGCCCTGACCATCATTCTTAACCTAATATTTTGAAGTGCTCTGTAAGATTAACATTTGCTGCATTCAAATGCCACAATTTCACCTCAGAGCACCCCCCCCCCCCTCCCGTCACCTTCTCTTCTTCCCCTGCTGGCTGAAAGTCAACAATCTCACAAAATGAATTCTAGCATATAATAACGGGTCTTCACAAATTGTTTTTGGTAGTTTTCCAAGCAGGTGCCCTCCAAAATACTTAGATTCAGCTCAGAAAACCACCATTTGTGCATAAGAAGTATTAGTATGTCAAAGAGTAAGTTTTTTATACAAAAATATCATGTATTGTACTTTGTGCTTAATATGCAACTTGCCATGAACATTTTCTCAAAATTCACGTATGGAGAAAATAACCTTTTGAATGGCAACAAACTGAAAGCACTGTCTCTTTTTCTCTCTCACCCTCTTCAAATAAACAATTTTTTGGAAACAAACGATTTATTTTCTGGTAACTATACTAATTCAATTGCAGTAAGCATGACAGACTAGTCCATTTTGAGGACAAACTCCCACCAGCTTATAATTTGACAAATTCAGATGCCAAAATGTCGCCCTGTAATGATACTCCACGTAGGAGATTAGAATTGTACCAAAACAACATTTTCCGGGAACAAAAAACCAAAAGATAATTACCAGGTGTTGAAAGCCTTGAAATGACCCCTATGTTAAGGACACGTCCCACCTTTATATTTTTGGATTAACTGTGATTTTAAATTCTAACTTTTTTTTTTTTGTCAAATTCAACTTCACTATGTCTGACAGCTAAAAATATCAAGATTACGAAGAACACCTATTAGAAAACGTCAATTACACTCCATTTTGAATCAAACATTTTTGATATGTGTGTGTGCGTGCTTGAGAGAGAGAGAGAGAGAGAGGGAGAGAGGGAGAGAGAGGGGGAGGGAGGGAGGGGGAGAGAGAGAACGCAAAGTGCTCCAGGTATTCCGAAATCTTGAAATGGAACAGACTGTCCATAAACCAAAGGTTAAACTGGCATACATCAAATTCAGTGGCCTCACCAGGTCATGGAATGACATTTGCCCAAAACACAACCCACAAATATCAATTTTTCAAAGTTCAAGCTAATTTGGCTAGGTACACCACTGTGCAGACAAATGAAGACCAACCTCAGAAAATGGATTCCTTGATTTGGCCAATGTCTTACTGTGAGGTCTGGTGTATAGTGAATCTCTTCAACTTAAATGTTGTCCAGGAAGAAGTATGATATTAAATATTCTTGACAATATCAGAAATTCAGGACAAAAGTACACAAACACATTCAAGTACATCCAACATTACTAGGCCTAACAATACCAGCCTCAATGACCCTTGACTGAGTCCAATGAAGTCTTGCTGAATTGAGGAACATGACTGATGCCCTCGGATTAAAAAATAAATGTTAAATGAACAGTGTGACAGCGTATGCTACATGTATAGGTGTGGTGTTATATAATATTTATATACTAAGGAAGAATACACCCCAATTTCAAAGGTAGCTCTTGTCAGGAAGTAACATGATTCTGTACTTTATTTTTTTCTTGTGATCATTATTTTAAAACTTAAACTCTGTGTCCACTAAACATTTCAAAATTTATATTTTCTCTTATACAGAGATCCAAAGTTCTTACTGTCAAAACCCACTTCCTTATTTTCAGGTCAAACATACACCTCCAAATAAATCTTATTAGGCCTCGAGTTTCTTTACAATTGATTTACCTGCCATAAACAACCGTTTACCTCCAAAGTTGGGTCAGTTTTTGTAGCTAATAACAGATTCGGGTCTCTTGAGTCTGACATAAAGAATTTTTTACTGTCCTAATAAAATATGCACCTGCATAACCTGCTAACAGTATGGGGTCAACCTAAAACTAACCACCATGACCCTGCTGACTCTGCCTGTTATGTTTATATAACCTACCAGAAAAGAATATTTAAGTTTTCCTTATCTTTTATTCTATATAATTCCCTAAAAATCTGTGATGGTGTACTTAGCGTTAACATATTGTTCAGCAAATAAAGAGTCCTAAGTCAATTCAACCATTAAAGACATCAAAGGATGTAGAGATTACTTAGGGAAACAAGACAGTGTGTGTGTGTGTGTGTGTGTGTGTGTGTGTGTGTGTGTGCTGTGGATGGGTTTGGGGCTGATAAGACAGACAGAGGCACAGACAGACAGAAAGAGCCAATATTGTACTGCAGAAGATCTAATTTTAGGTCCAAAAGTTTTGATATAATTTTGCACCAGAGTAGTTTTTTTTTTTTTTTTAAACTGTCCCCTGGAATGGTCAACCCTACTCACCCTGGCTGCCTGACCAGACATTTAGAGATGAAATCTATGGCGTTTTCCGAGATATCACAGAATAGGTCTTCTGGGAAATCGAGGTTGACCTGGGAGATATTCAGGAACGTCTCCTGTTTGTCTTCTCCAGCAAATGGCGAGCACCCTGTCAGCATCACGTAGACAAGCACCCCCACGCTCCTGGGAACAAAGAAAACATGGCATGGATTGGGGGAAGAACAGAATATGCATGAAATAAGGGAATACTAGTTTGATATTTCAACAGAAGGCATGAACTTAAATGTAAACTAGTACTTACATAAAGAAATGTATAATTACTAATGGGGGACAGACCTATCTCCTAGTAGAGAAAGCTTTACTTGCATGATTAAAAATACAAGGTGACATCTCAGAGTATTGTACTGCAGAACCAAGTTTTTTTTTTTTTGCTAAGTCATTGCAAAGTGACACATTTGAGACACAAGAAATGCAAGCATATTTCATTCCATTATAACAAACGTTAACATATTCCAATCATGCACCCAATCTTCTTTCTTTTGGTCGCCAACTTTCTCAGTACATTAGAAATACTAACCATATATCTGTGTAGGTACCTATGGGCTCATAACTTAGAACTTCTGGTGCTGAAACACACACAAAATATCACAGTCATTTACAGCAACAGATTCCTTGCAAATTCGTACTTTAACCTCCAAAATATCCATTCCATTTCACCAATTTCTCCTTTTGAATGTCTTAATTCAAGTCTCCCTTTACAATTTAAATGCAAATGTTCTTCAATAGCATTTTTCTGTTAAGGAAAATCTCAATATAAGAGATAAATGAAAAAATTCAATAACTATGAAAATACAAGCACAAAAAGCCTACATCTTTCTGAGGGGAGGGGGGGTGGAGTGTCACTAAATTGTTTTTTTTTTTTTTTTAAATTTGTTATCCTTATAACAAATATCCAGATAAATCCAGAAGACTTTCTTTTTTTGTATGATATTTTTCACCATGCTACTCACCAACATAGTCTGGCGTCCCAATGATGTCCCTGATGTCTTCTCCATAGTTGACCAATCGCGCAAAACCAAAGTCACATAACTTGACGTCGCCATGGGGATGAGGATTGGTCAGGAGAATGTTCTGAGGCTGAAAGAAAACAAAATATTGATAGAATTCAATTTCTGATAAAAAGAATGTGATTGTTTCAAAATGTTTGTATGTATGCCTTTTAGACTGAACCTTATGAATTCTTTTAAAAAAATGGTCTTTTGAACTTTGTGTCATTATTCTCAAACCCAGACATCCAATTTTTTTCTTTTTACAACCTGTTAACTCTTGTCATATCAAGCCGTTTGTAACCCTTAGCAAAACTTTACGCCTGTTGCAAATTTGCTGTAATGTTGCTGTAAACTGCAATTCCTTTTTGCAAATTTGCTGCAATATGGTTGCAAACTTTTAATAGTGCTAAGGGAAGGATTCCATACCCCCTCCATTATTTTACTCTCTGTCTGACTCTCTCTCCATTTTTTTTTTGTTTTCTCTCTCTCCCTCTCATGTCAAGTGGCTTTCAGTGCCCAATGTTAGGCTTCGTTCACATGCAATGTCTATTTTCTAAATTCTATTTTCTATTTGCAGCATGTCTTATGATCACGGTCTGTGCACTGAATATCCCGCCGCGTAATTACTGGCAGCGCGAGCCAGTTACTATAAGTTACTATAAGTTACTATAAGTAACTGGCTCGCGCTGCCAGTAATTACGCGGCGGGATATTCAGTGCACAGACCGTGATCATAAGATAGCGCGAATAGAAAATAGAATTTAGAAAATAGACATTGCATGTGAACGAAGCCTTAATCTCCTTCTGCTCCTGACCAGGGGTCAAGGGGTCAAATTCCTCCCAGGTCAAACATGCTGGTCTGACACCCAGTTTTATTCTGACAAAGAGCTCACTTCCTGTGTTCTTTCGCTACTATGTTTAGTTGTAATTAAGCTTTTCCTGCACAAAACTTTATCTATATAATTTGTTTCCCAATATTTAGATATTGTATGTTTCCCAACGTTTAGTCCTGTAAGTTTTTTTTTTTTTTCATATCACAAACAGGTGAAAAGAGAAGACACACCTGTGGCTTAATTCAGATTTGATAAATAAAAATAACACAAAATAAGAAAGAAAATATCATACTAATAATAATAGAGGGTTAACTGGAAAAATATCATAATCCTTTAGTACTTTATTCCAATAAGAGAAGAAACAAAGCAACAGCAACCATGGGATACTACTGTTTAGATTCAAAATGGTCACACTCGAGTACTGAGATGCCAGTTTTCCACCCTCTTCTCAAGTACTGGTGAAGAAGATGGGCCAAATTTATACCAGCTTCAAGTAGTAACCATCACTCTCTTCTGGCAGAGGAAAGAAGATTGAAATGAAATTTGCCATGAAGTTTCCAGAAGAGAAATGTATCGCAATAACATAAATGCTGAGAATAAGCAACTGGTTTGCAGGGAACAAAATACCATGGCAACCAACTACAAAAGCTGAAAGATTTGTCGAAAGATAAATACATGTTTTCGCATGCAAATGTGTGTGTGTGAGAGTGTGTGTGTGCATGAAAGAGTAATGAGTGTGAGAGAGTACAAATGCATGTAATACAAAAAGAAAGAGACTGCATGTGTTTTCAACATGCACATGATATGTCTGCCCTGCTGTCCCTGCTCTGCCATGACACCACCAAAAGAATAAAGTGACAAGTCCCAGAGTTTATGCTGGGACATAAGTTATAATAAACTGCCCTTCCAATGTTATTAATTACATCTTTACAAAATGAAAAAGTATTAATTCTTTTCCTGATAAAAAAAATAAATAAATAAAAATAAAAATAAAAATAAAAATAAATCATATGCTTCAGATATTCTACTCTAGTCAAGGGAAATTCAAATATGTTTCTATTCTTCACTAATATTCATAACTCATTTAGTTCAGACAATTAATTTGGCTAAAATTATCCATCTACTTGGTTAAAGGCCGTGTTATCCTGTAATAAGCGTAGTCACTGTATTCTGATCCTGAAACAATAGGACTGCCATGACAGCATGAAGTACCAAGACAAAGGTGAGACATGATTAAAAAAAAAAAAAAAACGAGAGAGAGAGAGAGAGAGAGAGAGAGGAAAGGCCTGCAGCCCCAAACTTTTGCACTGACAAGGGAAAAGTGATTCCCTAAATAATCAGGTTGGCAGGTGACCTCTGCCAACAAGAATTTTTTTTCTTTTTTTTTTTGCAATTCATGATATCCAGGTACAGGTAATTCCTTGTTAACAACAGCAATTAGTCTTCAGAAGTTTCAGAAGAAGAAAGAACAAACTGACTAATAAATTCAAGATGACTCCCTTGGTATTTTACGGACGGTTGGAGAAGAAACATCTCCAGCCAACAAATGTCAAGATTTATTCCTTACGTTACAGCAACAATGCTGGTGAAACCAATCAATCTCTGTGTCTGTTCCTTTACTATAACTGTTTTTTGGGAGAGGTATTTTCACGGCTGGTTTGCAAAAAGGTATCCACAGTCAGAAACCAACAACAGTGCATCTTATCTTACCAAACAAATGTTGGCACAGATCAAAACTACCTTGGAGATAAAAACCATAAGGGAATCTGTTGAAAGTTAGATGAGAATACCTTTTCCAAGTAAGATTTAAAAATATATTTATAAATCCAATGCAGTTGGGTATCTGGGTAGGGAGGATGAAAATTAAAAATGCACCTGTGCTGCACCCACACTATGTTTAACAGTAACAACCAATACCACAACTAAGACATCCAAAACCCTTACTAGTATTCACCCCTGGGAAATTTCAGACCAGAAATTAATTATGCACTTTAAAAAAAGACAAGTTCCTATTGACATTTAACAATCTAGCCATGTGATGATGAGTTATTACGATAAAAATACAACATTTTCTCTCAATCTCTTCTAAAATTTTCCAGTAGGATTTTTTTTGACATCATCTTTTCAGATTGAGGTCAACTTGTGGTCCAATTTGTTCCTGCAGTGAACTCGGCAGCTTACCAACAAACACCAGCCCTATCTGGCCCAGCAAACCTTACTAAGGGGAAAATGTAACATTATGCCTACAGTTACACCGTTCAAGCTGGAACAGTTTTTCCCATTACACGCTTCGAAGATCAAAAAGATTTCCTCTATGAAGATCAAATGAGATGACAGTGCGGAAGATCAAACAGCCTGCTCCTGCGATACACTTCCATTCTTCCAACTCGTGCACTGTAAATAATGACTTGCTGTATAATGTACCTTGTGTAAATAACTGATATCCTTGGACGGCACATTTATCGCTATATTAGAAGTTTTTATTTGAATTCTATTTGCCAATGGGAAATTTTTCACTATTCCCCCTCCTCCCAGTTTTCCTGCTTTTTTATACTTCTTTTAGAAACATTTTCTTCTTTAGGTGGAAGGAAGGTGTTAGAACTTGAAAAGCACCCTGGAGGATGTAATGAAGTCAACCCAGGTTTCTTCTACTGTTATGACACAAAGAAAACAATTTGTGAAACCTGCACTCTTTATGAAACACTGGCAAGACCGACCAATTTCATACAAATACAACATGGGGGCAGCATACTAAAAATCCACACCTCTGGCACCATTGCTGGTATAAAGAAGCCCTTAAAAAGGATAACCATGTGTACAAACTGATTGTGTTAGCTGTACCACATAAATGTGTCTGCTGCAATAATAAAACTTAGTTCCCTGTTATTTGCAGTTTTTCATTTCTCCCCCATGGGCCTGATCATCATAGAATGTCTATGTTACATTATGATATGTTATGTTACCTTATATTACATGGGCACCTTCAAAAATAATTCCATCATCACTGTTACTCAAAAGCACCAACACACACACACACACACACAAAAAAAAAAAAAAAAAAAAAAAAAAAAAAAAAAAAAAAACATTTTACTAAAATCCCATGAGGGAGCAATTAAGCTTTAAAGAAGCTTTTGATCATAATGCAACACTGGCAAACACCAAGTCCAAAAAGATCGACAGATACACATATCACTTCTTCACGATTAACTCGTCTTTGCTTGACTGAGCCCTACATTATTGATCAAAGAACTTTCTGAGAATATGATATCTTAAAGTTACAGAGGCATTCTATTCTTCAGAAGTTCTGACATGAAAAAATGTTAATGCTTATTGCATACTCAGGGGGTGCATGTGTACCCAACACATTTTTTGTTGGAATTTGGGAAAGCTATATAATCATTTTGGACTGAAGACAGTGAGAAAAAATGTAATCATTTTGGATGGAAAGTAAGAGAAATGCTCAATTCATCCTTTGGTTGGAAAGTAAGAGAAAGGGCTACATTCAAGTTTGGTTGCTTGATGGGCCTGCATATGGGCCTTATTTATTTTTGGTAGGAGAGAGAGAGAGAGAGAGGGAGAGATGAAGCTGTTGCTCATGGTGTGGCAAGTTATACTGGCAGTGTCCCTCATCCACACAAGAGACCCAGAAAATTAGCTCAGAAAACACAATTTTTAGCCTCCCAAGGTCTAAATATTCAGAAGTTGGCTAAATAAAGCTGTATTGATGACTGCTTATTTTATGGTCATACGCCATTCAAGGAATCGGTGAGTGTCAGTTAGATACTAGTATACACAAGGACCCTTGAGCATTAACATCAACATGGCTGCCCGAGGGTGACAGAAGCCATTGTAGTATTGTCCCTACCAGGTAAACTCCACATCTGAGGTCAAATATAACAGTGGGAACACCGCCTACAATGAAGATAGCAGTACTGTCAGAGACAATGGACATAATTTTTTTGTGCTGACAACATTTTCTTATTTTGTTTTGCAGGTAGTTAAAACGTATCTTATTTTGGTCAACTGTTAATACAAAGGAGTTGATAAATCATATCAAATACTTCGGACTGCACATCTCAATATATTGTAAATTAATCACACGTGTACAGGCCATTTCATCGTCAGAGCATTGTTAATTTTAATTTTGAAAGTGAATCCAAAGAACATGACTGAAAAAGGTAAATGGTTCAGCTAGTTTTGCCAAACAGAATTTGTAGTAGTAGTAGTAGTAGTAGTAGTAGTAGTAGTAGTAGTAA